CGCCTCCGCCACCCAGATGCCCTGCGTAATGCGTCTGCCGCCTGCCCTTGAGCGCGTCCATCTCATCGAAGGTCGTGTGGAAGAGGTGATTTAGCAGCGTGCTCTTGCCTGCCAACCCCACACACGTGGTGCAGTGACACACGGGTGGGTGATTGACTGCCCGTCACAACGGGGTTGGTTGACAGACAGGGTGGTAACAGAAAAGTAACACAACAAAATGAATAGCGGTAGACAAGCGTTTTGGCTCAAGTCCAGAGGGGCCTATCATGTGCGTGTGATATGCCAGCACACGACGAGTGGCGCTATAGGGGATGAGGGGCTAGACGGCAAGCAGCAGCAGAGGGCAGAGCCCATCCGCGCTTCAAAATACCACGTCAGTGCACTGCACTGCATGCCTTCTAACTTTTCGTTTTCTTCCTCATTTCAGAATTCGTGTGAGGATTCTCAACAGCACTGTAAGGTGCAGGGCAGCATGCAGATGCGCCGCGCCATCCGCAAGACCAGGGAACTGCGGTGAGATGCGGTTTCAAGGAGTGACGATGGCGCTGAGGCACCAACATAGCAAATGCCCATGACATTGCTGCGGAATTCGCTGGGCCGACAGGTTCAAGGAGCTAGCGAGAGCTTTACGCGTGAAGCAAGAAGCCGGGGCGAGCGGCAGGGGGGCTTGGACAAGCAAGGCGTGTATCGCTGCTGAGGCAAGGCGCGTACCGCTGCTGAGGCAAGGCGCGTACCGCTGCTCTGCGGTCCGACGATGGCGAATGACGGCGTACGACAAGCCGCACTCCGTCATCCGCGTCGCACGCGCGAATCGCTCGAGCCCCTCGCGATCGAACTCGCCCGTCCCCGACACGAGCTGCATCCGCATCCCCGCCTCGCCGTCGCCATCGCCGTCGCTCCCCATCGCGAGACTCACTCCCTCAAAAAGCCGTCGTTTCTGGAAAGAGACGCCTAATTTTAGGCGCCTCAGAATAGAGCCCTTGCTGAATCTAGAATTCGGTATGGAAGCAAGAAAACTGACTGAGAAGGAACACGGCGAATTTGCAGAGGGCCCTCCACGAATCAGATCAGCTTGCGGGTGCGCTAGCCATGCTGAAATCTGATGCTCGTGAAATTGCTACGATGATTTCCAATACCGTAGGGGTTGAAGGAGAAAGGTGAGCAACTGCTTGTGGAAGGAAGGCGTGGCGTGCCTTGAAGCCGAAAGCGTGGGACCAGGGAGGAGGAGAGAGGGGGGTGTGACTGACCGACAGCGATCAGCGTCAAGACGAAAGGAGCTCATTCCTTGATTTCGTCGTAGCCCATCCGCGATACAGACACGGACAGTTTTCACAGACGGACTCGAATCGGAACTGTGTATGGATCACGCATTATAGAATGTAAATCATGATAATTATTCAAATTGGAAAAGCCTTAAGAGAAAAGCACATACAAACAAATAAACTATATTTAAATACTGAAAAGGCATACAAATCCAACATTTTTAAAATAATATGAAGGGAAACTCAGAGATAATAAATGTTCTTAAAAATATATACCATCGAAAATGACTAATAACAATAATACATACTTCTGCCATTTGTGCATTTCGTGATCGGTGTGCTGGTGGCGGAGTGCCTTCTATGACATCTGCTCCCCGCCATAACCGCTCGGCCGCCAGTTCACCACCCAGACTCTTGTCATCTCAGTCACCCACGATCTCTGTACGTCGTTCAGAGTACGCGCACGTCTCGTCGCTCATTTCCGCTCTCCCGTCCGCGCCTGCTGCATTCTCTTGCGATCGTTCTCGCAGCCTCGGCGACGTTCCTCCTACTGTTTCTCCTAGTCGCTTTCCGCCGCCAGAATAACTGGTCCGAACTCGTACGCGCGCGGAACCTCCGCGCGGTAGCGAGGGACATTGCCGGCGGCGCAGACGAAGGCGCACAGGGCGGGAACTTACCCGGCGCGCATTTTGCGCCGGAGGCCGCCGCAGAGGCGGACGGCAGGGCGGCGGCGAGCGGAAATGGCGGAGCGAAGGAGGGGTTGCGGGTTGTGCTGGTATCGCTGGAGTACCGCGCGGGCACGTTCAGCGGCACGGCGTCTACTCGCAGTCGCTCGTGCGCTCGCTCGTCGCTCACGGCCACTCCGTGATGGTCGTCAGGTGCGGGGGTAGGGGGGGGCCGGGGAGAGGGATGCGGGGAGGCGAGGAGAGAAAGTGCGAGAGTGGGTGAAGTGAGGAGAGGCGGTGTGACGAGCAGACGGCGATGTGGTGGCGGGACGCGCACCTGGCCCTAGTTGTGCCAAGCAGGTTTCTCATCTCGTGCCAGTCGTGCTGCCTTCGCTGGCCTGCCACCTGCTCTTCCCTTCTTTGACGAGCCTTTCCCCTTCTGCCCCAACAATGCTCCCCCTCTCCCCCCGCCGCACCTCCCCTCCCTCCCCCTTCCCCTGCAGTGCAGCTCCCCCTCCTCGCACCACCGCACTCCCCTCAGCCCAATCCATCCGCCTCTCCTCCTGAGCCCTCGGCGCCCATCGTCATAAGGCTAGCGCCAGCAGCGCCCTACAGGCTCTCTCCACTCCGCAGGCCAGCTTTGTGCCGGGCTCAGCAGGCAGGTGGCAACCAGAACGCAGCAGCGGCGGGCGCACCCTGTGAGCGCGGCGGCAGCAGCGTGGGGGGCCAGAGGAACGGGGCAGAGGAGGAGGAGAAGTCCGTGGAGGCGGAGCGGTGCGGAGTGGTGGAGGTGGGGAGGCGGGGCAGGTGGAGCAGTGGTGTGGTGGAGGTTGCCAGTGAGCGCGTGGGGGCGGCTGGACTGGCGCTGCTGCTGGCATGCAGGGGCGCACGGCTGGCGGGCGAAGAGGGGTCAGGGGGGACGGAGGTGGCGCGCAGAGTGGCGCAGTTTTGCCCCACAGTGGGCGCTGGTGGTGGACTGGTCTGCCGTGCCCGCACTCACCGCCCTTGCTGCTCGCACCCGTGTGGGCTTGACACTGTTGATGCGCATTGCGCGTGAGGGTGGTGGTGAGGGTCGCATTGGCGGGTAGCAGTGTGGTGGATGGCGTTGGTGAGAGTGGGAGGTCAGGAGGACAGGCAGCCGAGCAGCGGGCTCAGCAAGCACCCAGGCGGCCACGCATAGCGTATTCTCAACTTGCGCGTGTACTCGCTCTCACACTACCAGCCGTCTGCCGCCACCACGTCTGGCCCTGCTGCAGCCGACAGTGCCGGGGGAGAAGGGTGAGCGGGGGGCGGGAGGTGGAGACGGAGGCGGGCAGGGAGCGGGCGTTTCTACCGGGAGAAGGGAGAGCGAGGCAGTTGCCATGGCGGATGTCGTCACGGCCCTCAGCACCCGGTGAGATGTTGTCACGGCCCTCAGCACACGGTGAGATGCCATGGGCGATTTTGAGATGAGCACTTGGGAGATGAGCGGTTGTTGTGCGATGAGCACTTGGGAGATGAGCGGTTGTTGTGCGATGAGCACTTGGGAGATGAGCGGTTGTTGTGAGATGAGCACTTGGGAGATGAGCGGGTTGTTGTGCGATGAGAGGTTGTGCGATGAGCGGTTGTGAGGTGAGGAGTTGTGATAGCACAGCGAGATGGGTTGCTTGCAGCGCAAGATGGAATGCTCTGATAACCTGATCACTTCAAATGGTAGGGAAGTGAAGCCCATTTTGCCCAATATCTGAAGCTCATTCTGGCCCATCCTCACTTCGCCTTCATCCAGCTCCCATGTCTCCCCCCATGCTCCCAGGGACGCACGGTACCTGGCAGAGAGCCCTGGGCACGGGGCGCAAGGCAGGGGTGAGCCAACACGCGCTGCTGCCGCCCCTCCGAGAAGACATCCGCGTGCTGGCAGCTGGGCGAGGAGAGTGAGTGAAAGTGGAAGTGTGTGTGGGGTTGACACAGGAGCAATAGATCTATTGCTCGTTGTCAAGGACTTGGTGTTCCTTTTGTTGTCGCAGGCAACCAAGGAGAGTAAGTGATTGACAGTAGGGAAGGCAAGCGGTGGAGAGCAGAGCAGGTCAACTGGGCGCTGTTCGTGTCAGTGCACCGGACAGCACGCCAACATCAACATGTACTACCGTCCACCAAAGCTACTCTTCCCTTCCAGCCCTCCCCACGTCTCTTATCCCCGCTCCTACCTCCGTCTGTTGAACAGACCCCCAGCTTGTGTCCAACCCCCCAGCTTGTGTCCAACCCCCCAGCTTGTGTCCAACCCCCCAGCTTGTGTCCAAACCCCCCCAGCTTGTGTCCAACCCCCCCAGCTTGTGTCCAAACCCCCCAGCTTGTGTCCAACCCCCCAGCTTGTGTCCAACCCCCCAGCTTGTGTCCAACCCCCCAGCTTGTGTCCAACCCCCAGCTTGTGTCCAACCCCCCAGCTTGTGTCCCAACCCCCCAGCTTGTGTCCAACCCCCCAGCTTGTGTCCAACCCCCCAGCTTGTGTCCACACCCCCCAGCTTGTGTCCAACCCCCCAGCTTGTGTCCAACCCCCCAGCTTGTGTCCAACCCCCCAGCTTGTGTCCAACCCTCCCAGCTTGTGTCAACCCCCAGCTTGTGTCCAACCCCCCAGCTTGTGTCCAACCCCCCAGCTTGTGTCCAACCCCCCAGCTTGTGTCCAACCCCCCAGCTTTGTGTCCAAACCCACCAGCTTGTGTCCAACCCCCCAGCTTGTGTCCAACCCCCCAGCTTGTGTCCAACCCCCCAGCTTGTGTCCAACCCCCAGCTTGTGTCCAACCCCCCAGCTTGTGTCCAACCCCCCAGCTTGTGTCCAACCCCCCCAGCTTGTGTCCAACCCCCCAGCTTTGTCCCCCATGCTTGTGTCCAACCCCCCAGCTTGTGTCCAACCCCCCAGCTTGTGTCCATCCCCCCAGCTTGTGTCCAACCCCCCCCAGCTGCGTCCCATCTCCTTTCCTGCGACAGACCCTGACGGTCTTTCCCAGCTTCCGAGCCCCCTGTCACTCCACCTGCTCCCTCAATCCCCTCCTCCAACCGCAGTGATGCGCGGCCTCATGGCCATCGGAGCGACTTGTACCTGGTGTGCTGTAGTGCGCCTCTCCCCCGCGAAGAACGCCGCCTTGCTGCCCTCCCCTGCTGCGCCTGCTGGCGCCGCACCTGGCAGCTCTGGCGTCACGCCCCTGCTGTGCGGAGCGGCACTGCCGCCACACGCGGTGCCTTCGGTGGAGGCCGTGCTGCACGATGTGGTGGGGCTGGCTGCACCGGGGGCCGTGGTGGTGGATGGCTTCATGGGGCCTGAAAGGATGCGCAGCTTTCACTTGCAGGTAATGGCCACGGTTACCCGTGTCACTGCCTGACTGCTCATGCATGCGTTGCCGCCATGTGCCCATGTGTCCATCGCCTTGAATGTAACGACAGCCTGGCAGTGGTGCTGCAGTCGATGCCTACTTCCCTCTTCTCACACACACACCACCTGCACGATCCCACCACAGTATACCTCATTCTGTGTCACTGGTGTTCGCATTCACCTCATTCCTCCTTTGCTCCCCCATCCTCACGCCCCCATTCCTATCTGCCATGTCCTGTTTCTCATGCACCCACACTCTCCTTCTCCCTCTCCCTTTCTTCCCCTCTCCCTTTCTCCCGCTCTCCCCCTCTTCCCCACTCTCCCTCTCCCCATCGCCCCTTTCCTCCCTCGTCCTCTCCCTCTCTCCCTCTCCCCCTCTCCCCTCTCCCCTCTCTCCCTCTCCCTCTCCCTCTCCTCCACCTCCCCCCCCCCCCCCCCAGAACGCTGCTCAACATCCACCCCTGTCTGTACGACGCATACGGCATGACAGTCGTTGAGGCGGCAGCCTTCTCTGCACCCTCCGTCATCCACGTCGGCCCGGGCGGCGCCGTGGGAGCAGCCGAGCTCCTGTCGCCCGAAGAGCAGCTGGCACTGCCGGTGGACCTCTCTGCCGCCCTGCCAGTTGTTGCTGAGAGCATTCTGGCGCTGTTGCGGGACAGGCAGCATCTGGCGCAGGTGGGGCTGGCGGCGAGACGGCGTAGTTTGGAGTGGAGTGAGGAGGCCAGTGCGCGTGCCCTCACTGCCATGCTGCAGAGGGCGTCGGTCTAGGCACCAGCGTAGAGAGGGTTGTTGTTGACTTGTGCACTCCCACCCAGGGCCCTTAATTCGTTGTAGACTTGTGTGATTCGCATGGCTAAGAGACATTGGATAGACAGAAGCAGCAGTCGCCATCATCTCTGGACTGAGAGCAAATGATCCAGAATTGGGTGTTCTGTTCATCGTGCCTTCAAAATGGCGTACCAACCACGGGTGAACTGCCATGACAGTGCCCATTGTTGATTGATGATGCGTCATGTGTCCGAGCTGGCCATTGAACCCGAATGAATCTTGTGCCACATGATTCGCATCATTCAATGTTCTAGGAAAACATGTATATTTTCAAAAGCTGTAACGCTTTTTAAAATTATGTATTTTGAAAGCGAAGCTGCCTGTAATGTAGGATTTTGGCAGCGTCGAGCCGCGCTAAACGCCCGTTTTGGAGTACAAAACGTGGGCTGGAGGTCATTTCCCTCCACCCACGTCTCTCATTTTCAAACGGTTTAGCCGATCTTCCCACCCACCCCCCCTCGAAAGCAGGATAGCCTTGATAACAAAGAGGCATATTATTGTAATGACGCTGCTTGGATTTCAATTGTACTAAACCCATTTGAAATGAGACGATGCCAATTGCTACATGCAAGAAAGCAAGCTTTCTAAATCAATATTTTTATCCGCTGGAAGGACCGCACTTAAACTACCGTAATCCCCGGATATAAGACCCCCCAAAAATAGAACACCCCAAGTTAGCTAATAAGGGAGGGAGTGTTTGTTAAGCCTCGAAATTGTTTTTGTCGAGAGTAAAGGGAAAGGATCGTTCGACTATCGAGAAAGTTGGTGAGGACACAAACTATACCCAACATTAGCTACCCCACTAAAGCCTACATATTTAGAAAGCTTGCTTCTTGTGTTTGCAATGGCAACGAGCTTCGTTTCAAATGGGCATTACATCATTCTCGTCCGGGATATATATGGTACCTACATTACACATGACAACATGCAATTTTTGCTAGGGTGGGTGGGTGGGAAATACGGTAAGACATTTGAAATTTCAAACGAAGACGTGGGTGGAGGCCATTTGGCCATTTGCCCTGCTATATAGTTGGCGAAGAGCGTCTAGCACTTCGCCGTTGCCATTGCTGCAGTACAAGCAGCTTCGCTTTCAAAAAACACATTTTTAGAAAGTGTTACAAACTTAAAAAAAAAAATCATTTTATTATGACATAGGCATATAGTTTTGACACACCCCCATAGGCAAAGTGGGGGAGAGCAAAGAGTCACAACACTATTCAAGAGAAGCAAGCAAGCTCAGGGTGGATCACAACATCACCACACACACTAAGCACAAGCAAAGGGCCACAAGGCCAGTTCACATGCAGAGGTATATATGCAACAACACCAGTACAGTGATCTCTACCTAGAAGAGCAAGCATGCAGATATATATATAGATCACAGTACAAGCAAAGTCTACAGCAAGTGAGGAAAAGTGGGCACAAGGCCTAACAAAGTGCAGAAACGCTGATGATCACCAGACGGAAGTGCCTTGGTGAATATATCAGCAGTGTTGGCCCGAATGGCCACGTGAGCAAGACGAAGCTGACCACGCTGCTGCAACTCTCGAGCCAGGAAGTAACGCAGAGCGATGTGCTTCGTTATGTGCTCCAGTCTGTGCTCCTAACACAAGGCAATGGCGGCCTTGTTGTCGACGTACAGCACTGGAGGAGAACGAGGCCTCTCTCCCAAGTCGGTCAGCAGGTAGGTGAGCCAGCGTAACTCCTGTGCAGCCATGGCTGTGGCATAGATCTCAGCCTCACAACTGGAGGTGAGAACTGAAGACGAGCGTATAGAACGCCAAGAAACTGAACCAGAGCCAAGGCTGAAGGTGTAACCCTTTGACGATCGCTGCGTAGCCTGGTCGTCAACCCAAGAAGCGTCTAAGTGCCCGGTGAGGACAACGTCGCTCCGTCCTCCAAGCACGAGCCCCATGCCCGATGTACTGCACAAGTAGCGTAGTACCCTCTTAGCAGCATCCATGTGCACCTTTCGGTGCCGACCAGGAGCCACGTAGCGAGCCAGAAGGCCAAGAGGGTACGCAAGGTCAGGACAAGTGCAGGTCATCAGGTACATGAGGCCGCCCACTAGCTCTGGGTAAGGACAACTCGGCTCTACGGACTCGTCCGAAGGTGGAGCTCAGAGTGAGTGACCTGTAGCCAGAGGAGTGGCTTGTGCCGAGGACCAGGTGAAGCCGAAGCGCTGAAGGACCTACTGCACCATGTGTGACTAAGTCAGTGTGATGGTGCGGCGTGCTCTGTCCCGGTTAATCTGCAAGCCAAGGTAACTGCACAGCTCACCCAGGTCTGTGCACGTGTGTCTCTTCTGCAGCTCCGACTTCACCAGGGCGAGAGCCTCAGTGTCAGCAGTGGCAAAGACCAAGTTGTCGACGTATACGAGGATGTAGAACGGCGGCAGCGAAGTGTCGGTGCCCAGAAAGAGCGACGGGTCAGTAGTCGACGGAGCAAACCCAAGAGCCGCAAGTGTCGTCCCATCACGTGGCGCCTGGCGGAGACCGTAGACCGGCCGCGGGAGGCTCCACTGGGTACCAGGAGGGAACAACCCAGTGAAGTCAGGCAGGCGGCGCAGCCAGAATCTCCTCGTGTAGGCTGCCCTGCAAGAAAGCTGTGCTGAAGTCAAGAGAGTGAAGCTCGTAGTCACGCTGAGCGGCAACGTGCAGCAACACCCGAAAAGTGGTCATCTTCGGGGTGGGGGAGAAGGTCTTGAAGAAGTCCACTCCCTCCCGCTGACTGAAGCCATGGCTGTCTGCCATTGAGAGGAGACGGGATTTCTATCGCCTCTGCGTAAGAGCGCGGGGTGGGGATGTCTGGAGCATCCGGGTCTCCCTCAGGGTTAAGTAGCATGGACACGAGATGAGGCGCAGCGGCTGCAAGACACTCAAGGTCCTCCTGCCTGTCCTCAAGGACGTCCGTGCCAAGAGCACACCCACCCCTGACGGACGGAGGACAGACATACTTAGACTCAACAACAAGACTAGCGGCGTAGTCTAGACGATAGGCAGCAGCAAAGTCAAGAAACTCAGCGACTAAGGCAGACGCAACAGCAGACTCAAACGACGGGTCAGTGACAACGGTGGCGAGCAGACGCGTAACAGTAGGGTGAGCAGCACGAGCGGGGTCAGACTCAGGCTCTGGACCGTCAGGTAGAGAAGACGCAGGAGGGGACGACAGGGGAAGACACTGTGGAGCAGAGGAAGGACGCAGGGCCATGAGGTGTGTGCTAGGGACAGCCGGCGGACGCTCACGAGGAACACGACGACCAGTACGACTAGTGCGGACAGTGCGAATAGGCGAGACAGGATGAGACGCAGGCTCACGACGCTCAGCAAGACCGCCTATCAGCTCAGTGTAAGGAGAAGGAGTAGGCAGCGGTAAGCCAGGTTGTAACGAAAGACCAGTAGAAGACGGGAGGCTAAGAACCTGGCGAAGTACGGAGCCAGGCGGTGGCAGAGACGAAGGTGACGGCGGAGCAAAGAACAGTCACGGCGGTGCAGTGCCACCAGCACCAGTAGCTCCAGCACCTCCTACAGCTCCAGAACCTCCAGCGCCAGCACCCGCAGCAGCTCCAGAACCTCCAGCTCCAACGCCACCAGTGCCAGCACCTCCAACAGCTTTAAAACCTCCAGCTCCAGCACCCGCAGCAGCTCCAGAACCTCCAGCTCCAGTGCCACCAGCGCTAGCACCTCCAACAACTCTAGAACCTCCAGCGCCAGCACCCGCAGTAGCTCCAAAACCTCCAGCTCCAACGCCACCAGCAGGAGCACCCCCAGAGCTGTCACCTCCAGCTCCAGAGCCTCCAACCTCAGAGTCGACAGCAGCACCTCCAGGACCAGCTGCTCTAGGAATTCCAGTAGAAACAACTCCATTAGTAGAGTCACCAGCTCCAGCGCCTCCCGCAGCGGGGCCCCTAGCTCCAGCAGCGCGACCCTGGCGGCTAACGTACCACTCACGCAGCTGCTGTGGGGAGAGAGGGGCAGCGCCGGCTCCAGTGCCTCCAACACCTGCGCCTCCCGCAGCAGGGTCCCCGGCTCCAGGAGCTTGACCCTAACGGCGGACGTACCACTCACGAAGCTGCTGTGGGGAGAGAGGGAGACGACGACGAGAGTGCAGCGGCGAGGCACCGGCAGAGCGACTACGAAGACGGCCGCTCCAGGAGACTACTCACCAGACGCCTCAGCGCCCCCAGGTGCAGCACCCCCAGACTCCTCACGCCCAGGCTCAGCACCTCCAGGCTCCGCACTTCCAGGCTCAGCACCCCCAGGCTCCGCACCCCCAAGCTCAGCACCCCCAGAAGCAACACCCCGAGCAGGACCACCCGCAGCAGGACCTGAGTCACCAGTGACCTCAACCGGCGCACTCAAGGGAGGAGGGTCTACCTGAGACACACCTGAAGGAGCAGGACCGGGAGCGGGGAGGGGGTCTACTCGGGTAGGACCAAGAGCGGGAAGAGTGGCGGGGGGGGGAGAGGGGCAGTGCGGTAGGGGAAGAGACGGTAAAAGGGAACCGACTCGTCGAACGTGACGTCTTGAGAGGGGAAGTCACGGCGCGAGGTGGGGTGGTAAAACTGTCAACCAGGTGCGTCAGGGACAAAGCCAAGGAAGACACAGGGAACAGCGCGGGCGGAGAGCTTGTCCGTAGTGGTATCGCGGACAAAGGCACAAGAACCCCACACCCGGAACACCGATGCATCGCCAACCTCCCCCGTCCACCGCAGTGTGGGCGAGGTCTCCGGCAAGGAGACACGGGGCTAGAGGTTGAGCTGATGCGCGGCGTAGCGGACCGCAAACGGCCACAGAAAATGGGGGGCAACTGCATGGACCATGGAGGTACGAGCGACCTCCATGATCAAGCCAATGCGGCGCTCAGCAACCCCATTCTGCTGTGGAGAGGCCGGAAGCGTGAACGTCTGGCGAATGCCCTCCCCACGACAAAAGCTCTGC